CCTCCTCCTCCTCCTCCCTGCCAAGCCCGGCCCCTCCGAGGCCGAAGGTCACCCCCAAGGATCCCGGGATCAATTCCCGCCTTTCCTTCCCTCCTTTTCCCCCCGAAAATCCCGTTTTCCACCCCAAAAAAATTCCCATTTTCCGCCCCTTTGATCCCCGAAAAAATTCCCCTTTTTTTTTAACCCTTTCTTGCCCTTTTTTCCCTTTTTTTCCACTTTTTTTTCCCTTTTTTTTCCCTTTTTATCCCATTTTCCCCCATTTTTTTCCCATTTTTTTCCCCTTTTTTTTCCCATTTTTCCCCCCTTTTTTCCCCGTTTTTTTCCCCTTTTTTCCCCATTTTTTCCCTTTTTTTCCCCCCATTTTCCCCCATTTTTTCCCGTTTTTTCCCGTTTTTTCCCCATTTTTTTCCCGTTTTTTTTCCCCTTTTTCCCCCATTTTTTCCCCTTTTTTCCCGTTTTTTTCCCATTTTTCCCCATTTTTTCCCTTTTTTTCCCCATTTTTTTCCCGTTTTTTTTCCCCTTTTTCCCCCATTTTTTTCCCTTTTTTCCCCTAAAATAAAAATCCCTTTTTCCCCCTTTTTTCTCCTTTTTTCCCTCAAAAAAAAAAATCCCTTTTTTTAACCCTTTTTTTCCCTTTTTTCCCCTAAAATAAAAATCCCTTTTTCCCCCTTTTTATCCCATTTTTTCTCCTTTTTCCCTCAAAAAAAAATCCATTTTTAACCCATTTTTTACCACTTTTTTTCCATTTTTTCCCCCGTTTTTTCCCTTTTTCCCCTCAAAAAAATCCAAATTTTTCCCCATTTTTCCCTCCAAAAATTCCCTTTTTTTCCCCATTTTTCCCTCAAAAAATTCCCTTTTTTCTCCCCATTTTTTCCCCTTTTTCCCTCAAAAAAAATCCAATTTTTTTCTCATTTTTTCCCCCTTTTTCCCCCTTTTAAATTCCCATTTCCCCCCTTTTTTTTTTTCCCTTTTTCCCCCTTTTTTCCCCCCCAAAAAAATGGAACCCAAAACCCGCGGAAATCTCCCCAAAAATGAGGAAAAGCCGGAAAAAGAAGAAGGAGTCGCCCTAAAAAAGGAGATCGGGCTCCTCAGCGCCTGCGGGATCATCGTGGGTGAGTCCGGTCCCAAAGAGTCCCAAAAATTCCCAAAATTCCCCCAAAATTTGGGGATTTTTTGGGGATTTTTTGGGGATTTTTTTGGGATTTTTTGGGGATTTTTTTGGGATTTTTTGGGATTTTTTGGGAATTTTTGGGATTTTTTGGGATTTTTTTGGGATTTTTTTGGGATTTTTTTGGGATTTTTTTTGGGATTTTTTGGGATTTTTTTGGGATTTTTTTGGGATTTTTTGGGATTTTTTTTGAGATTTTTTGGGATTTTTTGGGGATTTTTTTGGGATTTTTTTGGGGATTTTTTGGGATTTTTTAGAGATTTTTTACGGATTTTTTTGGGATTTTTTTTGATTTTTTGGGGATTTTTTTGGGATTTTTTTTGGGATTTTTTGGGATTTTTTGGGATTTTTTGGGGATTTTTTTGGGATTTTTTGGGATTTTTTTGGATTTTTTTGGGGATTTTTTGGGGATTTTTTGGGATTTTTTGGGGATTTTTTTTGGGATTTTTTGAGATTTTTTTGGGATTTTTTTGGGATTTTTGGGGATTTTTTTGGGATTTTTTGGGATTTTTGGGGTTTTTTTGGGGATTTTTTTTTATTTTTTGGGGATTTTTTTGGGGATTTTTTGGGATTTTTTGGGAATTTTTTTGGGATTTTTTGGGATTTTTTTTGGGATTTTTTGGGATTTTTTTTGGGGATTTTTTGGGATTTTTTTGGGGTTTTTTGGGGTCAGGAAATGAAAAAATTCCCAAATTTTCCGTCCCTCGGGAACCCCCCTGGGAAGGATTTTTTGGGATTTTCCCCCCAAAAAACCGGGAAAAATAAATTTGGGGTGAAAAATCCAAATTTTGGGATTTTTGGGAATTTTTTTGGGATTTTTTGGGATTTTTTTTGGGTTTTTTTGGGGTTTTTTGAGGTCAGGAAATGAAA